CCAGAAAAGGCAAGGGTCATTTCTGGTTTGGTGGATGAACGATCCCCGATCGCCTACGAGACTCACTTATTCCGTTTTCCCCGGGGGCCGACTCTCAAGCCCCGCCAGCAGGCGCACAGCGGCTGGTAATTTAGGCAGACGATCGTGGGAAATAAAGACAAGCGGAAGACTGAAATGGCCATTTCTGGCTTGTTAGACGTCACCAGGCAGTCGTCGGCTGTTCTTTATTCCAGTAATGCCGTCTTGATTAGGGAGAGAAACGTTCTGACTTAGGATTTGTTTTTAAGAAGAGTTTAACCTATTTATTGTTTACGCACTATTAGTCGATTTATTATGCTTCGTCCTAGTGAATGTTTCTTCTAATTACCAGGTAGATCCACTAATCGTGGCTGTAAATAACTTATTTCCCAATAAATATAAGTTCATGATAGAATTGGACTGGCCGACCTGGTTAAGGAATAAGGGTGGTCATTGAAGCGAACATGCGAGTCCCAGGAAGTAATTTAGAGGAAGTAGATGTTATTGCTGGGGCAAGAGTTTTATTCGCCAGACGTTTGGGATTCCGTCGCGGATCCTCTCAGAGACAATAGCAGAAACGGGTAATTCATGTACAAGGCGTTGCAATATTTATAGGACACAGTCACTATGCTACTGTACACTTATGACGATTAACGACTCCTATATCGAGGATAATTGTCCGCTTGTGCGTTATGTGCTTGATGGCCGGCGTGCGAGCCGTGGTCCGCTAAACTTTCATCACAATTGATGGAATTGGACGTGATGGTTGCTCAGCCGTCTGGCTCGGTGGCGCTGGTGTTAGACGACGCGTTGGCCTGTTTCTTCCCTAATTGGTGACTTGGTTTGGTCAAATTAAGCCTCAGCACGTAAAACTTTTCGGCATCTCCAAATTTGAATATGTGGCCTGGTTTGGCCGAATGAGTCGCAACTTGATAATTGGCGTCATTTCTACGCATTGCTGCCACATGTTCGGCAATTCGCGCCGCACCTAGTTGCTTTGTCCGCAACTGCACTAGCTCCTATATAGGACTCCAGATGTTTCTTGCCGTGGCAGTGGATCTTTTGGCTTCATTATCTGAGGCCTTGTGTCTGTGGTGTTGGAAGACCAGAGTCTCTAGTCATTGTAGGACCAAATGGGCTACGGGCCCCGAAATCGGTTAACCCATTGGTGTTCTTTTCGGTGAGATTGTCTCCAGGGGTCGGAATTTTTCATAACCTAGAATAACCATCT